TAATACTAGCATTGAAAAAAAATAGCGGACCTTATTAATAGATTTGGACTGACAGGAGAAAAAATTCATTAACTTGAAAGCAGATCCACTGAGATTGTTCAGTCTAAACAACAGAAGGAAGGAAGAAAAAGAAAACCCCAGGGACCTGTGGGACACCATCAGTGTACAAATATACACATAATATAAACCCCAGAAAAAAAGAGAAAGAGTATTTGAAAAAAATGCCAAAACTTTATCAAATTTGATGAAAATCTTCATAAAGTCTGTGACAATCTGAGGATCCCAACAAACCTGAGGTAGGATAAACTCAAATGGATACAGATAAGATACCCCACAGTCAAACTACCAAAAGACAAAGACAAAGACTCTGGAAAGCATCAAGAGAAGTCATTCATCACACAAATCCTGCCCTGGAACTCAGCTTCCCAGAGTTCCTCCTCAAACAGTCCAGATGGAATCTGAGGTCACAGTCATTTGAGAGTCATCAGCTGTCACTATTGGTGAAGTCCAAGAAGGACGAGGTCAAGGTCTTTTCAACATTTTGGGTGCTTTCTCCTTTCTATAAGCCTCTTACCTGGGACCCCATCCTGGCTCCATCCATCCTGTAAGTCAGAACTGAGTGGCTACCAAGAGGTCCCTGCAAACAGTGCTGGGATGAGCTTGTGAAGACGCATCACTGGGGGTGTGATGTGATAATGACTGCCAGTCTCTGAAGGCTGCAGGACCTTCCCAGTTGCGATGAGCTAAGCAGTAAGTAACCATTGGCTTCAGGCTCTATAGTATTGGTTAAAGCATGAAATTATATGTAACGTTGCCCTTAAAAATAAGTCCTAGCCTTGAAGTATGATTTTGAATAACAGGCATGTTTTGTTGGTTTTTAAGAATAGCTACAGAGACACATATTGACAGTTTTACATTGATCTTTCTGATGCATGTATGCATATTTGAATTTACTTATTTTAATTTTCTCAAATACTGTTTTTACACATATTTATTTTGGTGTGTGTGTATGTGTGAGGGTATGCATGTTCCACAGTGCATGTGTGGAGGTTAGACAACAAGTTACAGAGGTAGGGTTCTGTCCTTGTCATACTATGGTTCTTTTGTCTGTAATAGGCTAAGTTCTTCACCTCAGTGCCATGCCAATCTCCCACTGTGTGGGTTCCAGGGATCAAATTCAGCTTGCTGGGCTTGGCCTCAAGTGCCTTTACCCACTGAGTCATCTCACTGAGAAAAACTTGGAGATGATTTTCCTCCCACTATTCTCACTCAGGAGACTGCCATTCATTCAGCTCCTGTTTCATGAATATCTGCTCTATGCCAGATGGACCTAGAGATGGGGAACAAAGCATTCCTAACAGGACAGGAGGGCAACACTCCATCTGAGTCTGAGAGGCCCAGAGGCAAGGCTGTCTACAGAAGGTGACTCCTTACCTGCATCTGGAAGGATCAGATAGGCAAAGAGAAGTTAGGCCAAGCTATCCAGGGGGAGACTGGCATGGCCCTGAGGTGAAGAACTTAGCCTATTACAGACAAAAGAACCATAATATGACATAGACAAAATTGAAGATCTAAAAGTCATGGAAATAACAACATATTAGACAGAAAGAGCCATCATATGATATAAGCAAGATCAAACTTCTAAAATTCAATTATATTCAGCAAAGATGTTTTTATCACAGCTCTAAAAAGAGTTTTATATTAGATGCTGGGTTATAGAGACAGTTGGAAGACACAATCACACATGTTAAGGATGTCAGGTAGCAACAGGAGGACACAGGTGGATAGAGATGAAGGGATAGGAAAGAACTGAAGCCCACATGGGAGGAAAAGGAACTCTCAGAAGAGGACAGTCTGCTTTGGTATAGAAGAAGCAAAGTTCAGGTTGTGCCTAGAGAATTACCTGTCACATGGAGCACAGTGGAGACTGAACAGGAGCATAGAGACAAGCAGTAGTAAGTTGGCCTTGGTCTTTGGGTTCTGGATGGAGTCATTGCAGGCTTATAAGCAGGTATGATGCAAGGTAGGATTTTAAAATCCCTAGGCCTGCACTATGGAGGAAACAGCAGGATCAACATCACAGACCAGTGAGGCTGGAACAGACATCCTAGCCAGAAGTGGCCTTGGGAAGATGGAGCAGAAGATATGAAGGATCAGAATGGAAAGGGCTTGGTGAAAGGAGAAATCTGATGGGCAAGAGGTAGAGGTCAGTGGAGTCTCAGATTTTTGGTTTGTATCATTGGAGGAAAGGAGATCACCAGCTATGCATAGCATAACACACACACACACACACACACACACACACACACACACACACCACCTGTGAGTCTGCCCTTCTCCATTTCCTGCTCCCAAGCAAGAAGTAAAAAACACAAGAAACACCCAAAAAATCTTTCTCAAGTTTCTCATGTTGTTCCACAGTATGAGGTCCACTAAGTCAGGCCAAACCCTTGCAGCTTCTTGCAGAAAGCACATAATGCCTACGCACTGCTGTGCATGCACCCTGTTGTCTATCTGCACTAAACCTTTCCCTGCACTCAAACCAGTTATTTTCTAACTTTGTGACCTATATTAGTAGTTACCTGATTTTGGTGGATTGCTCTGATATCTGCTACCTCAGATATATGGCAGCATTTAGAATCTTTGCTTTTCTCCTCCCCCGCCCTGCCCTTCTCTCCCCTCTCCTCTCCTCTCTTCTCTTCTCCTTCTTTCCGTTTCCCCCTCCTCTCCTTTCTTCAAGTAGTGTTTGTGTATGTGACAATAGTTTTTACAAGAGACACATGCAGCCACCACCCAAGCAGACACAGGGTGCTTCCAAGCCCCCCAGAAGCCCCTCTCAGGTGCTCACAAATCACAGCCCTTGGTGACTCCTCAGTTGTTTCCCCTCCCCAACCACTTCCCTGGCTACAGAACTCACATCCTTGCTTTTGTTCTTTGTGTATAACTAAAGTATGCTCCCTACATGATGGGCTTCTGCTTGTTTGGAACCTTTATTCTTTGAAATCCCTTGATTCTACTCCTTTTAACCATGTTTAGAAGATGCATCCACGTTGTGTGCTATAATTCTGCCGTCTGTTGCAGGAATGGGCCGCTATATTGCATTCTTTCCTATTATGACAGTCACTGGGTTGTTTCCATGATAAGTTCTTGTGGCTAAACTCTTTGAATATGCTTGTGTGTGTGCCCTAGTCACAATTTGGAAGTGTCCTTGGGGTTCATATCTGTAAGTAGAATTTCTGTCTTCACTGATGTTCCTTCCATGTTACTCAACATTGTATGAGTGGTTCCTGCATTTTGCATCCTCACTAATATCTGGCATTGTCTCATCTTTTTGTTTTGTTTTATTTTTGAGAATTTCATTCATGAGTATTGTCTTTGTATTATTTCCATCCCTCTCAGTCCCCCTCCGATTCCTCCCACGTCCACCAAACTCCCTCTGTCCTTTTCTTTGATTACATATATAATAAGAGAACAAGAAATTGAGACGTGTGTGTGTGTGCGTGTGTGTGTGTGTATGTGTGTGTGTGAGCATGTGTGTGTGTGTGTGTGTGTGCGCGCACGCGCACATGCGCATGCTCGTAATGCCCACTTGGATTAGGTAACAACTCAGGGAGCTAGTCCCCGGAGAAAACTGAGCCTCTCCCTTTCCCTCATCATCCATTGATTGCCTGTAGCTCTTCATTTTGAGGTGGGACCCCATGAAATTTCCTCTATCCATCTTGGCATGTCAAGTCTCATCTTCTTGCATTAAACCTCTGTTCCCCCAAATACTTCATTTAAAAATATTCTATTAGTTATTTGTATTTTCTCTGTATGAGTGTTTTGACTGCAAGTACATCATGTGTGTGCCTGGTGCCTGCAGAGGCCAAAAGAGGAGGTCGGATCCCCTGAGATTGTAGTTAAGGATGGTTGTTAGCCACCACGTGGGTGCTAAGAATCAAATGTGGGTCCTCTGCAAGAGCAGCCAGTTCTCTTAACCGCCAACCCCCCCACAAAGTATTTTTCTATTTATTATTTATTTTTAATTTTTATTTATTTTATTTTTATTTGTGTATGAGTGTACTGCCTGTGTGTGTGTAAGTGCACCCATGTCATGTAGCTCCCCCGGAGGTCAGAAGATGGCTTCAGATCCCATGGAGCTGGAGTTATAGATGGTTGTTAGTCACCATGTGAGTGCTGGTTTCTGAACCCCAGTCCTCTGCAGGAGCGGCCAGTGCTTTTAACCACTGAGCTATCTCTCCATCCCTTCAAATAAAATCTTACTAAAACAGTCTCCCTCAATTGGTGGATTTCAGCAACCAATTCTCAAATATTTTGTACTAGAGGAGCCATCCAGTGTGAGAATGAACTCTGCAGAGAGAATGGCAAAGACTTAGATGAGTCCTGAGCAGCTTGACAGACATGAACCCTTTGGGGATGGTGGGACCTTATTACAAAGAAAAGCAAAACTGCTTGTTTTGGGGTTTTGTTTTGTTTGTTTGTTTGTTTGTTTTATCTTTTTGAGACAGAGTCTCCCTGCTGTAGCCCCAGCTGACCTGGAACTCTGTAGTCCAGGCTGGCCTCAAACTCACAGAGATCCACCTGCCTCTGCCTCCCAAGTGCTGAGACTAAAGGCATGCACCACCAAGAAAAACAAAACTATTTGTGATCTACCTCTTAAATTATCATGTCATACTTGTGTACATTGATTTCTGAGTCAGCAGCACTGTGTTTATTGAATCAGACTGTTTTGAGCACACTAGACCTTGAATATATCAGCCAGCTCAAAGCATGGCTACCCATCATGCTTTTCTTCCAAAGTTTGTCTCTCAACGAATCAGAAAATGTGTTCCTGAGGCCTGTCCCCTGGCATGTGATATTCATGGACATGTTCTCTCTGGTGTACCCACAGGGTTTGATGAGCTGACCTGGATGTGGCCCCAACCTCCATCACAGCCACCCATCATTGGGACTGATAGAAGATGCTTCCCTTCAAGGTGAGCAAATGGATGGGGCTGGCTTGCTTCCAGTCACTGGTACACTCCTCACCTAGTGTTCCTCAGAAGAAACTAATCCACAAGCTACAAGAGGAAAAGGCTTTTCGAGAAGAGATAAAAAAGTTCCATGAGAAAATAGAAGGCTTCAGGGAAGAGATATGGAATTTCCGTGGCAAGATCCGGGGCTTCCGGGGTCAGATCCTGGGTTTTGGGGAAGAAGAAAGACCTTTCTGGGAAGAAGAGAAAACTTTCTGGAAGGAAGAAAAAAACTTCTGGGAAATGGAAAAATCTTTCCGAGAAGAAGAGAAGACATTTTGGAAAAAATACCGTACTTTCTGGAAAGAGGACAAGGCCTTCTGGAAAGAGGACAATGCCTTGTGGGAAAGGGTTAGGAATCTTCTTCAGGAGGACAAGGCGCTATGGGAGGAGGAAAGGGCCTTGTGGATAGAGGAGCGAGGCCTGCTTGAGGAGGAAAAGGCCCTGTGGGAAGATAAGAAGTCCCTCTGGGAGGAAGAGAAGGCTCTCTGGGTGGAAGGGGGCCACCTCCTGCTCCTTGGGGAGCAGAGGCCCCCAAACGAAGAATTACAATCACCAGTGTTTCCCCGAGGCCGGGCATAGTGAGCACAGGAGATGCAGGGCCATGGGGTTCACATGCCGCTGGACTGGGATCCAAGTCGAGAGTGACCCCATGTACTTGAGGAAATAGGTATGTCCTTGTCTCCTTGCTGTGAAAGCTCCAATAAACTCCTGAGGAGAGAACCGCTGGATTGGGATCCAAGTCGAGAGTGACCCCATGTACTTGAGGAAATAGATATGTCCTTGTCTCCTTGCTGTGAAAGCTCCAATAAACTCCTGAGGAGAGATTAGAAAAAAAAACAGCTCACGGAAGGCTGGCTACATTTTTTTCTGATTGTTTCTCATATTCCCATCTTCCAGTGTACTGACGGCCACTGAGAGACTGGTTCCAGAGAATTCCCCAAATCCTCTGCCTGTGGGGGTGTTTGTGAGTAAGATTGGGAAGGAGACACTCAGACAGTGCCAGCCAGAAACATGTAGGGATAGAGAGTGGCTGAGCTATCTTACTTCTGTCTCCCTGTGGGGGTGATCATTTCCCCTTTATTCTGGTCAGTCTGGGAGGCCTGGCATGGGCTGACAGACTTCCAGAAGCCTGTCAGACTCCCATGGATAAAAGCATGAGAAAGGGCCCTTAACGTGGACTTGAGGCTCAAGAGCATCCTTTAAGATCAATGACCTTTTCTGACAAAGGAGACAAAGTAGGTCTGGGAGCTATAAGGAGTCTGCCCTGCCTTGACTCTGTATATTTCCATCCAAGAGTCTCACTGCACCCTCAGGTTCTTTGTTTGGACTTCTTGCCTTCATTCATTTAAAACTAAAGGCCTCCAGGGAGGTAACAGGTTAAACGAATGCACCGGCATGGTTAAGCAGGCTGTGTGCTCAACATTTCTTCTGGAGGTGGGAAGATGGATGGTCTCTACAGGGACTTGATATGGAAATGACCGGAAGCGGAGGAGTAAGAAACACCAAGACAAACACATCTGCCTTTCTCTTCAGCCGACTAGTTCCTTCACTGTTACTGATGCATTACCTCACCTTTGTGGATCCCATGTAACTCAATAACACTTTCATGCAAACGCATGTAACCTTCCCCGTAACTCTGGGTTGACAAGGAAGGTACATACTCCCATTGTGTAGATGAGGAAACATCTAGAGAAGTGAAGTGATTATGCGTAGCTGGGAAGCAGCAAGGGGAAGGGTCAGGAATAGAACCCATCTCCTCTGCCCCTGGGTCTCCAATGCAACATGGCTCGTGGCAGCTGACCTGAGCTGATAATGGCTGCCACACTGCAGAAGCCTTAAGTACTTTGGAATTTCACTGTAGTTCAGGGTAGTAGTGGAGAAATGGAGAAGATGCAGACATTACAAAATTCTAAGATATGCTGAACAAACATTTTCAGTACCAGGAGAGAAGGCCAGCCTGCAGGAGCAGCCAGGCCTCTGTGGCTTCAGTCACTCAGGAAATTCCGGGTTCTCCACAAGGCTTTAGATTCTCAGAGTAATCAGGGTCATTGGGAGCAGCTCTTTCCTTTGTCTGACCCCATTCTCAGCTCGGCATGGTCACTGGCCAAAGGCTACAGGAACTATGATATTATGGTTTGGATAATGCTGCCCAAAGGCCCACGTGTTGGGCCTTTAACAATTGCTTATGTAACCTTCCCCATAAATTTGGGTTGACAAGGAAGACACAGAAGAGGAAACAGAGGCAAAGAGATTCCATGTGGCCAGGCAAACAGCAAGTAGAAGGGCCCTGGGTCCAGATCCCTTTCTAATATAACCTGGCTCATGGTGGGTGATCATAAAGGTCACCTTACCTTAAGAGGTAGGGTCCAGTGAGAGGAAGTTGAGTCACTGGGAGTATATCCTCAAAGGGGTCTGGGGACCCTAGTCTCTGACTCTCTTTGCTGAGCAGCTTCTTTTATTACATGCCCCCACCATGATGGGCTACCTCACCATGGGCTCCAAAACAACAGACCAACCAACCATTGATCAAAACCTCCCAAACCATGAGCCAAAATAAACTTTTCCAATTTGTAAGTTGGTTGTCTTGGACTTTTTTATTATAATAAAAACCTGGCACATGGAGAGAACAAGATGTTGAGTTAGACACTCAGATTTCAAGTGTCTGCTGAAGCCCACACCCAAGACTATCTGGTCAGTGGGTGGCACATGGGATGGCAAAAGTCCCCAGAGCACCAAAAAGTGCAGATCAAGCAGTCTCCAGGGATTCTAACAAAAACAAAATTATGGAGTATTAAACCTAAAATGAAAGCTACTGGACTGAGACTATAGCTAAGTGCTGTAGCATTTGCTTAGCATGTGTAATGTCATAGAAAGAAAGAAAGGAAATGGAAAAGGAAAAAGAAGATACGTAAACCAGTTGGCGGGAACCAGGAGCACACGATGAGAAGAGATTGCCCTTGTTTTTCTCAGTGCTCCATAGAGACCACTGCGAGAGACAGCTGCCATTTGACCAGCGCCTGGAGAAGCTACCCAGAGAGGAGAGGTGGGCCTCTCTGATTCTTTCCCTCACTCAGTAAAACAGCTGTGACCTTTCAGTGTCCCAGGTTCTGCTCTCCTGGGTCTAGGTGAGGAAATGGGTAGGTCTATCAGCCAGTGTGTCTCAGGGCAGCCAAGGCTGGGACAGACCCATGGAGTGATGCTTTGCTTTTCTCTTAAGCTATTTTGGAAGGTAAGTGGGGACTTCTGGAAAGGGTTCCTAGGGGGGAGGTGATGGCTGGGAGAAGCCTATCAATCGAGTAAGAATGAGCTAAAGACTGGGGACTGAGAGATAGGATGAATTCCAGGCACAGAGAAGGGCAGAGCACAGGGCTTTGAGGAGCTACAAATCCTTGAGTGAATGTGGAGGGAATATGGGGCAGTGAATTGGAAAAGCAGTGCTGATATAAGGGAGCCACCAAGGAGTGGCAAGGAAGGGAATGACATTTATTTAAATTTAGCTTAAAGTGTTATTTGGTGTTGGAGACCAAGTCAAAGGAGAGTGCTCTACCACTGAGTCTCATCCTCAGTTCAGATTTAAATTTTAGAAACAGCATCTGATAATTCAATAAACAGCACTGGGCTCAGTTGAGAACTTCTTGGAAATATAGAATCACAGGTCTCAGTCCAATCTATCAAATTACGGTTCTCATTTTAACAAGGTCCCTGGGTGATTTGTTTGGATTTAAAGTTGAAGGCATATTTCTGTAAAATAAGTGAATACAGGAAGCTAGAGTGAAGAAATGTTGAGACTATTCATCAGATCACAGCAGAGTCCAAGGAAAGGGTACTGGATTTGGGTGAAAAAACAGTGGGGTTAGGATACAGAAGAACCACATCTCGGAAAGGCAGATAAGCATCTGTTGGCTGAGGGATGGGTGGGATTTGAGCAATGCAGGAGAAACAGGTGTCAAGAATTTGTAGGCTCCTCATAGGGACAATGAAGGGATGGTTGTGCCCATGTCACCAAGAAGACCCAAGAATGGTGAGGAGAGAGGAACAGTGTAGTTTGTAACATGCAAGATTGCAGGTTTCCATTGCCTGCTCTGAAGAGCAAGTTTTTAAGCTTGGTCAGTATGTGAATGAGTTCAATCTTCCCGTTATAGCCACTCAATAAGAAATTGTGCAGTTAGCACCTGTGTGAAATAAAAATCACTCATCAGTTAACTATCATCTACTTGCTCATACAAACATCATTATGCCTTGCTGACATCATGCCACATCTGGGGATGAGTTGATTCCTGCCCATATAAACCTTTCAGTCCAGCAGAGGATCTTATCACCACAGTGTATGGATTTGTACAATGTGACAAATACAGGGGTGAGGCTCCCTCTCAGACAGGACACTCCAGCTGTGTACCCCCCTGGAGTGTGTTTAAACATAGAACAAAATATGTAGAGATAATCAAAAAACAAACTATCCTCAAAAGAAAAATCTCAGAAGAAGAAACTGGCTACTACTAATCACTGGGAGACACTTCACTGTCAGCATAGCTCCCAGATGAAAGAGAAGCTCATGAACGTGGCTTCTGGTCACTGGGTCTGTTTGCGCAAGTGGCGATAGATTTCTCCACAACCTTGGCAGCAGCTGAAGCTGCCTCCTCTTAATATGTCATCCATGATGTTACTGCCAAGTTCCTGAGAGATTTCCTCAATGTCTGTTAAGACACTGCCAGGTATCTAAGGGGACAGCTCAGTATCCCTACAGTGATCTCTTGGTGGGCAGCGGTATTGTTTACACTGATTTGGTCTCCTATGACTGATACTGGCCAATTCTTCAATAACAGATGATGCCTGAGAAAACTGGTCTTCTCATTACTAAACAACGACCAACTGAAACATGCTTATGATACAGTCTCTGAGGAGGGCATCAAAGTTTTAAGTCACCTCTGGCTTAAATTATCTCCAGGAAAGGATCTCACTTACTTTCTCTGTTATGGTTTTTATATGAAATGTCCACCATAGGTGGCTCATGTGTCAAATGCTTGTCCCCAGTTATTTTGGGAGGTGGTGGATACTGAGATGGAGTTGAAGGAAGTAGGTCACTGGGACATGCCTTTGAAGGTTATATCTGGGACCTGATTTCTCTCTCTCTCTCTCTCTCTCTCTCTCTCTCTCTCTCTCTCCCCTTCCTATCTGCCATGTTTCTGCCTCACAATGTTCTTCTTTTCCCAGAATCAATGGAGCCAAAAACTATGAAGGAAAATCTCTGAAAGTGTGAATGTCAACAAACCTGTCCTCATTTTTAATTGCTCTCTCAGGTATTTTGGTCACAGTGATGAAAAGGCTAACAAACACACCCTCTCTACCTTATCATCCCTAGATTCACCTGAGAATTTAGAGAAGACATCTACCAGTAGTCTAGTTGAATCCCTCCATTAAATAAAGAAATCATGTACAGTGAGGGGACTCCTTGGGTTATAATAAGGGTGGAGTCTGACTTCTCTGTTATTCTCTCCATCTTATGTCATCAGCCTCAGCAAATTTCCTCACTGTCTCATGATGGACTGCTTCCCATGGTCTACTGTGCTAGTACCAGGCTT